CAAAACTTAAGCAACAGAGTGTCTTTTTGCATAACTCCACGAGAAATCATCTCGGAGACATGAAATTCAGAAATGAGAGACAGCATTTTGTGTTAAAACGAAGACGAAAGCATAGTAGCGCAAAAATGAATACAATGCGTACAGTATGGAATCAGACAAAAACAGGCTTTATTGAACTCATAGTATCGTTACACATGATTGTCTGTTCAAGAGGAAGACCAACAAGCACATGTTCCTTAGTATGGGATATGCCCCCCCTTACTGCAATGGTTGCTTCGCACCGTCTCTCCATACTCAGCACCAGATTGTCCAACAGATCATGAGGTAAGAGTGCCCATTCCTCAATCAGCATCTGTTTCAGTTGTTGGGTGTTCCCCGGAGGTTGTAATCGTGACGCAAGGCGTCTCTCCAAAGCATCCGACACATGTTCTATGGGATTTTAATCAGAGGAATACGCTGGCCAAACCATTCGAGTGATATCTTCACTTTCCAGTAGTTTCTGAATAGCAGGAGTCCGGTGTGGCCGTGCATTGTCATCCATAAAACCAAAGTCTGCTCCAATGACACCTCGGGAAAGACGTACATGGGGAAGGATCGTCTCCTGACAATAGCGAATCCGGTTACGGAAATACTGTTAAAAACTTTTAGCTCTGTCCGCCCGTTCAGCATAATGTCTCCCCAGATGAAAACTCCAGGGCCACCGTAATGGTCTCTCTTTCTGTAATGTTACTGGCATGAAATCTTAGTGCAAAGACTTCTCTCCAAATCAACTGGCGTTCAGAATCGCTTGTGGCGCTAAAACGACTCTCATCCGTAAAGAGGACACGACTCCATTAATGAGATGTCCAGTTTTTGTGCTTCTTGCACCATTCTAAACAGTACCGTCGATGACCAACTTTCAAAGAGATGCAGCATTCAGGACACCGGGAGAATTGGCCACCTTTGTGAAGGCGTCTGGACACAGTAAACCACCACACTTGTCGCCCTGGTGCTGTACACAGTTGCTGAGCTATGGCGCTTGCTGACTAGTTTCGAGCTCTTTTCGCCTGCAGAACGATATATCGGTCATCCACTGCAGTTGCTTTCCTAGGGTGGGCACCACCAACCTTTCTAACAGCTGTGCCTATGGTTTGGAAGGCTTTCCAAGCGCGCGAAAGGACTCTTTTGCTGATTCCGAACTCTTCAGCTACACTGGTCACATTACGCCACTTCTCCAGCTTTCTGATCATTCTTCCACGTATGAAGTCATCGAGATGATTTCTTCTAACTATATTTCACGAACGAAACTCACTTACTTGAAGCGAATGTTTTTAATTGCGTCTTCCATCCTTCCTTTTATTGTAGTTTGAGATGAGCGCGCCGACCCGCGTTTTGCGTGCGCTCACGTCGTCTGTGACGTTTTTGCCCTGACATTTGCATACGCACGACCTTTTCCACTGAATTGCATGTTCATTGTACTGATCGCAAGAATCCCTTTTCTGCAATTTCATGGCTATCTGATTAAAAGTTACATTGTTGTTTAAGTTTTGCACACCAGAGTATATCCAACATCTTTCCTCTCATTGCTGGTCCATATATCAGCAATCATTGTTGTCAATTGTTGTTTATGAACTTACTGATTTCTTTACATTCCGTTTGTATATATACTGTACTGTATGCTATTTAATATTTGATATTATTTATCGGCAACATACAAAGGGCGCTCTTAAAAAGTAGCTTTAGTTCAGAACACAAATTCAGAATGTAATTCTCATTTGAAAACCACCATTGTTGACCTCGATCAATGTTTTTGATATTTAGTTAATATGCATAATTATCATATTTTACATTGACAGGTCCAGCACGATCGACAGAGAGCTATCACTTGGCTTTCGACGAGGCTCTGGTCGTGATAGAAGTTGGAGATGAAAATGATAATGCCCCTATATTCGAAGTGCAGGGGCGCCCCATTGTTGCTGCCGTACCTCTTGAAGCTTCGTTCGGCTACCAAGTCTTACGCATAACGGTAAAATTTAAACGATTCTAAATTTATTGAATTTTTAATTAGTGTATTTAATTATAAGTTTATTTAATTAAAAATATTTTTTCAGTTTATTGTTACTTACTTTATTTTATGATTGTGTATCTAACAAAAGGCTAACTAGGCTGTTAAGCTACTGTTACAATTCTGAATATCCTATAGCATTTCACACAGGGCTATTATTTTAATGCTGAGGAATTATTCCGCAGAATATTAATCAACTTTAACACACATGTGGTTTAACCTAAACGCTTAATTTACCCACTTCTGTTAGTTTACGACTGAACCTAAATGTATAACATAGGTTAGTTGATAACGTTTTGAGAATAAAGGCAACTTACATTTTAATACAGCAAAATTCGCAAATCAATGATCTTGAAATACAAACCCTAGTTTTTCCTAACCATCTGACAAATTAATTCCGTTTAGCAACTTGAAATATTGCGTCCTTTAGGACAGACATGCACTGACCTTTTTCCGAGTGCTTCGATAAATTTTTAAGTTATTTTTCACGTGCTCTTAATCTGCATAAGATTTGAGAGAATATAAGTGACGGGATTCTAAGAAAATATAGGACAGTGTTTGATTTAACCTAAATTGTTAATGAAACTTAAAAGGAACTGATACACATTTTAAGTAATGATAACTTAGCAGATTAGCGGCAAAAATATTTTATCAGGAACTTAAGGTACTTGAAATCTTGAAATCCTTTAAATAACATTTAAATATTTGTTTTTTTTTATTATATTTAGTTATTATTTTGACTTAAGAACAGAGTCTAGAAATAAGGATATTTTATTCCAGTTGCCTCATTTAACGAATAATTCGTTGTAATACATACCGAAAGTACATTCTCTCCCTCCCCGTCTGATGTTACGCGTTATTTGAAATTTGGTAATCCCTTGTCTAGTTTTTGCAGCCTTTTCCAAACTGAAGTGCCGTATGAAAACTACAAACTAGACAGGATATATATATTTCATATACTTTGCCTTCCGACTGCATATGCCTAGGTAGACTTAAGGCAGTTCTTCAAAGATTATTCTTTTGAGTATTTATGTAAAATTTGCATATGGAAGACTATCCAGTTTAAAATAAAGAGAGACATAGATAGATGGACTATTTTGTCAAGTCTTGAACAAAACCAGTCCTCTCTCGTTGAGCAACTTAACTTCCGAATATGGAAGCGAATAAAACAGAAATAACTATTCAACTGTGGTAAATGAGATTTTAAAGTAACTTTAAGCATGAAGATATATATTATAGAAACAGAGTGCTTATTTAAGTTCCTCAGTATTTTCCCGTGAACAGAGTGTAAATAGTTTTGCTAAATACTTACCATAAATGCAGGGCGTAATGAAACAAAATAACTATCAATTTGTTTACAGTAAAAATCCGGTAATCCAATGTTTTCGGCATAACCGATAATCGGCACCATCTCCACCAACATCCCTATCGATGATGGCACTATAATCGGTGTACTTACGTAATATCCCGTCGACCGTGAAAGTTGGCTGAAAATTGGCGGTGATCCCGCCAAATTTGCGCCAGTCATTTCTACGAAACTCTGAACGAACTAATAATTCTTTTTCCCCAGAAAGATGGCTTTGCAATTCATTACATGCAAAAATGTTTGCCAATTGCTTAGGAATTAAATTTCAGACTTGATATATATCGGAAGAAACGCAATCAAGGTAAAAAGTGAGAGCTTCATTTTGGAGTTATAATCATGTAAATAGTATTTATTCTTGAGGGTAAAAACCGTAGTAAACAGTCAGCATTTGATCTGCTTCGTTTTTGCGCTTTGCAAAAAAAACCTTCATTGATTTCTACTGTTTTATTGCGCTCTCTGATTTTACAGAGAGTTGTATTTAGAACGCTATGAGTAAAACTTCCCACACCGTAATGTCCCAAATTAATTCAGCTAACCGTATGTGTTCCATTAATACACATTGTTTTTAATAGTAATATCCTCATAACTTTAATGCTTGCAGTTCTGTAGAAGACAAGTTACAGATTTAAAACTTTTTTTCCAAATATTAAAAAAATACAGCAGTACGAGTCAATTTATATCCTTCTTCATAAAAACAAAACGCAGCTTATCGGAAACCGGTTTGGTTACATCAAACGAAAGCGCATATGCTATGAGTGTGTTGTGACGTCACGCTTATTCATAACTGACCCTAAATCGCTCAACTTGGCGACAGTTTCTCGTTCAACCAGATAATCTCACATCGCTAAAGTCTCGAACGTACAGGTTTATCGGATATTTGCTGTATACCTATCGAAATTTCTAAATCTTTATGGCACATGGAACAGTATAATATTTTATCATGGACATAACTGGTTTAAAAACAGCTCTAGAGCAATAAATGCTTTAAGGCAACATAATGAATTCTCAAAATCCTTTGCCAGAAGTGGCATAAATATGTACGATTAAGTTTCACAGTGTGAACTGTCCTCTAAATTTTCCTTGGCAGTTAGGTAATATGAGTTCTTCCTTTTCCCTAATGCCATTCTCTAATCTCCGGAACCTCTCTGCATTAATCTGAGGAGCTTCGAATTCAAAGCCGCAAAAGACGGATGACAGAAATGCTAATTCTGTAATCGGCTTTATACCGACTGGGAGATACGGATTGACCATGTTGGTTACATAAGTACTGTTAATGTTAGTCCTATTAGCATCATCTTATTCTGGGTCATGTAACATTTCGATGTGCTATCGGTTAGACATTAATGCAAGTTTTAGTGATGTTTATATAATATTTCTTCTAATGTTATCAAGATTTGCCGAGTAGGAAATTCAAGTTCAGTAAATTTAATGTTGGTGAATTATATTTATACTGGTCGAATTAATCTTTATTTGAGTGTCAGGTTGGCAGCATATTTGTAAATATTGAGGATTTTTTTATTCAGGTGTTATTAAAGTAACATAAATTCACGCGGCGTTATGGATTTAACCGCTAGTAAATATCACTGGTCTTTTTTTTACTTTACTTTACTCCACCGACAGAGCAACTGGTCTACTTGCAAGACTATACTCACCAGCCTATTTAAGGGCAGCCAATGATTCAAATTTTGTTAACAAGTCCGAATGCAGAAAGCTGTCTTTATAGCAAAGAACAAAAAAATTACAGCGTAAGGAGTTAAGTCAGCCATGCGGCTAAAAGGATTCTGTTTTGACTGTACAGCTATTAAGCTAAAGGGGACAGTGTATCTGCTGTTCTGTCGATTTAACCCTTTAAAGGCCGAAACGCCCGAGACAGCCTTTCATTTAAACGAACACAACCGCCCGATATGGCCGAGATTGCGATGTGTTTTCGTCTCTTCCTATAAGGTAAGCAGTAGCAGGTTCAGTTTCCCAAATGCATTGTATTAGTTTATCGCATACAGCTTGTCCTAAAAGGTAATGGACGTCTTTGTTAGGAAGTAGAAAGGATGTCATTTGAAATTTTCACACATACTTGTGCGTTAATGGACAGGTAGGGGAGGAAACGGACGGGACGGGTAATGGATAGGGGCAGGCGTTTTGGTATTTTAAGCATACAGGTTAGCGAAGGCTTCGGTTTTTAAGGGTTAAAAATAGAGCTGTCTTCCTCTGGGTTTTCGAAATACAGTACTGTTACAAACATATTCTTGTGCTCATTTGAAAATAGATACATGGCAATAAACTGCTACTCATATACAAAGGAAATAATACTCTATAATAAAGTTAATTAGATAAGCACTCAAAAATATAGCATACTCCCGCAGTACCATAACACTGGTACACCAGTACAAGTACATATACTATATAACGAAATGATACAATTGTAATATTGCTACAGTACTGTCTTATCTGTTTATATCATACTAATGCACTTTACAAGGTTGAATGAGCATTATTTCTCAAAGCATAAATTCTTCTTCTCTCAGGCAGAACTAATTTTTATGAATTAGCATTACTTCCCAACGCATAAATTCGATTGCTATGCTATCTTTCTCCCACTTTTTGTTAGTGACTCCAACGTTTTATTCCTGTCTTCGTCGATTTTGTACGAACTAAGAGAAGATGGGTGGCCACATAATCGATTATAGTTAAACAAAAGAATCCTTAACCAGGCATAAAGAAAAAACGGATTTCACTTGCATAATCCTTTAAAAATTTGGGAAAAACTAAGCTTCTCAAACAAATTACACTAGAACATCAGTGACTATTCAGAAATGGTAAGAATACTTTTCCTTTGATAAAACTTAATGCTCCGAGTCGTACAACCTTCTTCGGGGTTGTTATCTAGATCTGGATGTTCCTACGCTATGGTAACATGAAAATTACGATTTAAATAGGTTTGGCAAATTTATTGATTGCTTGGCTTTTAAGCCAAACAAGCACTAAATCAATTCAAGTTAAAACTTGAATCTTCAATCTTGAACAAGAACAAAAGACGAATAGTATAACTTAGCATTCATTAATTTTGAAATGTGTGCATACACAGCTAAATCGATATTATTATTTAATATTAGCGGAAGCATCCGATGGCTGTTAAGTTAGACTAAGAGTAATGCATCTAATAACAGAGAGAACAATAAGCCTACTCAAAAAATACGATTCATAGTCATACATTTTTCAGCCTGATGCACATAAAACTCACATAAAAAATTTCAATAGAAAAATAAACTAATTCTCTTTCATTATATGTGCAACAATGGCGCGCAGTTTTTAATGATTTCCGCCTTTCTTATGAAGTGGTCGTAAAAGCTCAAATTCCATCCAGTATTTCACTTGTATACAATTTTAGTCGATTAAATGTGGCAAAAAATTCGTCAGACATCAATACCACGAACAAACAAACGCACAAACACACAGAGATCTTGCTTTGTATATGTAGATTTTGTTAAAATTACAAGTTTTTGATTAACAAACTCTACGATTTGAAGGCGAGCAGTAGCGATTCTTTTCGAAATAAAGCATCTTTATCTCCAACGCGACAGACTGTTGCCACACGGAA